TTGTTCAGAACTCGGATTTTCCGAGACACTGAGGCTTAACCTTTGGCTTCAATTTATAAATTTAAGATAACGATTTGAGTTCCACCGTCACTTTCAATCGCAGGCATCGTGCAGTATCTGCAGTTTGGCTACCAGAAGGGCCTGCTCTACCGGCTGAAGGCGCTGGGCGAGCGGCACAACATGGACATCACCATCGAGGGCTTCCACTCGTGGATGTGGCGCGGGCTGAGCTTCCTGCTGCCGTTCCTGTTCATCGGTTACGGGTTCCAGGCGTACAACGCGTGGACGCTCTACCAGCTGGCCACCGGCACGGCGGACGCGCCGTGGCACGTGTCGGTGATGTCCGGCCTGTTCCTGCTGCTGTTCGTGGGTAACATGGCCACCACGCTGTGGGTGGTGCCCGAGAAGATCCGCGAGCGGGCCAAGGAGCGATACCGCCTGCAGAGCATGGGCAAGTCGATGAAGCTGCGCCAGGAGATGAAGGTGAGACAGTGGCTGGGCCACCTAACGAATCACTTGAAAAAGCTCTTCTAGCCAAATGGATTGCCTGCCGGAAGCGCCACTTAAAAGGCATTTTTGCATATATATATTTCGTTTCGCAAGCAAAAAGGTTCAAAAAGCCAAGTCAATTTCCCACGAAGAAGTAGTAATTGAGGTTGTGTAAAATAAACAAAGACTGAAGTGCGTTTAATATTGACTAAAGACACAATTACAAGGCGTTTTTATTTACGCAACATGTGTTTGATAACCAGCAATTCAGATGCCGCAAACAAAGGCGGAATCTCTCTGAAAATGTTAAATTAGTATATTTTTTTTAAGGAAATACAATGCAATGTGTTGTATAATTGCATAGGTTTGCCCAGTTTGTAGCCGATATTAAATTGCAGTTTAAATTATTCTATGTAATATATACATATATATATTTCTGTGATTGTAGCTGCTCTTTTGACTTTTGTTGCACATTTTGTTGCCAAATGAATGGCAATTTGTTTGCCATAAACAAAGGCATTCGCTTCAAGTGTTTTGTTCGTGTTGCAACGCCAACAAAATAATAAAATAATTAAATGTATAAGGCTGTGAGAAGGTGACGTCACATTAACCCCTTGTTGCCCAGGTGACCTCTGTGTGCTTAACCCCTATTTATGTTTTTCTGCTTTTTGCTTTTTTTTCCCGCTTTTTCTTGCAGAATAGCGCCAGTGATTTGGACCTATCGAGTGGATCGAAACTTTCGCCAACTGGGGCTACGACTACTTCCATTGCGACTGCGACGCAAACACCCGCCGACAAGAAGGAAATTTAAGCAAATCAATGGTTCTGTTTAGCCAGGCATTTCAATTACACACATAATTACTGTTTTTATGATTTTTTTTTCCTATTTATTAAATTTTTCCCTTGGTTTTGTTCCTCTCCAAACCCCAACCCGCCCCCTCCCAAAACGACTTTGAACTATGCTCTTTTTCCATTTCACACACATAATGTAAAACCGATGTACATTTGAAGCAAACACTATATAAGCAGAAAAAAAAACAATTTATAGTCATAATACACATATTTTTTTTCGCCTAATTGTAAGTATGAAAAATGAGAAGATGAAATATTAAATGGAATTGAAGTGACCCGTTTTTGTTTACTTTTTATGTTTAGACTAAGATTGAAATGGAAGCTAAAAAAGACAAATAAAATAAACTTGTGGTAAAAAAAATATAACCTTTGCTTGTTTTAATGTGAAGTGGGCATATTAAAATAATAGGGAATTTCTATGTAAATTTTTTATTACCTTAATAAAGTAATGCCACAATATTCAATCATGACTTCTACGAAAAAAAAATAATTTTTTCGACGAAAAAACTCAGTTTAGAGGGAATTAATTTAGTTTAGCAAATTAATCATCGAAACTAAAATAAGTGCTTTCTGTGCAATTAATTTACTAACACGCTTAATGTTTTTTTTATGTTTTTATACAAAAAACTTATTTCCAACAGTTAAAGATTTAGAATCATAATCATTTAAAACTATTAATTTTTTCATTGAAAAACTTTAAATTATTTTTATTAAAAAATATATAGAAAATTAAAAGTACTTTTTTTTGGTATAACTTTATTCTACCATATTTTAGGTGTACATAGAGTTCCTCGTCTTATTTTAGGAAATCAGTTTAAGCATAATTAAATTCGGGAAACAATTTTTTTATGGATACCAAGGCTGGTTAGCATAGAATTAGTTTTATAAATACACCGAATTTTCAAATTAAATAAGTTTAGAATTTAAGCGGTTTCGCAGGAGTGCAAGTGATTCCATAAAATGGCGGGCGACGTGGTGACAAGGCTTAGGTGATGTCGCCTTGTTTTACTGGCGGCCATTAATGCGGCTCCCTGTTGGCCCCCCTCCTCCCCCTGCTTCACCCCCCTCTGGCTCAACCCGGAAAGGGGGATCCCCCTGGCTTTTCCGAACCCCCCCTCACATTTTGTGCAGCAAAGGTTCGCCTCCTGCAATGCGGCAAAAAGCGGCGCGGTTTTTGCAGCTCCATTTTGCCATCGCCCGCCTCGACCGCAAAACCACAAGCCCAGTGTCCCTGTATGAGTGCGTTCCTACACTGAGAGAAATTACTTAGCCTTAGCCTTAATAAATTATGCAATTTGGTTATGAAAGCATATTGTATTCGTGGCTGAATAAAACTTCAAACAACAAAAAAAAAACAAAATAAATATTCAAATATTTGATATTTTTAAATAATTGATTTAGGGTTTATAAATCAACAACACCAAAAAGAAATATAAATAAACAACAAAATAACAAATGAAACGCGAGATCTTAAGACCAAATATTTATATATTAAATATATTAAAAGTAGGTGATATTTTCGGGCAGTGTTCGTGGGGTCGGACAGTGGGTCCTGGATCCAGGATCCCGGGATCCTGGCCATTTTGCTTGTCTGCGCTCTGCCGCAGCCTAATTTGGCGAGAGTTCATTAATTGCGTAAACGGCGCGCGCTTTTAATTATGTCGAACGTTGAGCGGTGGGTTGGTAGGGTGGCTCGTATTTTGTGCATTTGTGGCACTGTTTGCATTGTTGTTGCCTAGCCCAGTGTTTCACCATCCCAACAGCCCAACAGCCCAACAGCACACCAACCCATCACCCACAATCGAAATACCACCCACAACCCTCTGTTTTTCTGCGGCAAATGGCAACAACGGAATTTACGACTTTTGGTCAACGCAGCCGCAGCGACTATCAAAAAGGAGGCGGCCACAAGGGTTAAAGAAGGGGTGTGACCGGTGGTCGGCGCGGGGGCTAAGGGGTTAAGGGTCTTAGGGAAACCCCCTGCACGATTATCATTTATTGCAACCGCATACGCTCGCAGCGGAAAATGCCGGTTTGAATGGGCCATTGTAAAGGCGGGTAATTCGTTAATTTGATAAGCATACGCCATGTTGCACCGCCACCGATTGAAAATCACGCACGTTGAACCAAATTAACAAAAAAAAAAACCAAAAGTGGCAAATGAGGAGGCAAACTATGAGCATCGGTCGGTAGCAGAAAATTGATAATGCCAATATAGATGCACTCGTGGGTTGATTCACTGGTTTCCAGGAAAAAAAAAGATTCCCTCAAGGTGATCAATAAAATGCAATTTAATCGATTTTTATTTAATCGTAAATATTGTGTGGCCGTAACTAGATTTAATGAATTATCCTTTATTGCATAATATTTTATCAAACCTTTTAAAATGTTGTAAATATATATTATTTATTATATTGATTGTTGTATGCATACCAAAAATGAAATAATAAAAATAAAACGTGCTTTGAATTTGTTTAATTTCCTTATAGTGCTCCTTGTAGTTTTCTTTTATATAATATATTTTAAATAAATAAAAAATAAATATAAAATTTAAGTTTTAAAAAATAATCAAGAAATTTCCTTTCTTGTTTATAAAAGATTTGATTTTGAGCTTATTTGTATATTGAATGTAAACAAACTTTATTATTGTATCTTATTACACCGTTTAACACCATTGAAATAGTTTTTTTTTTGTTATTTAAGACTTAAAGGATAATTGTTGAATTTTGTGTTGCTAATTAAATTTTAGATGAGCTTAAAGAGGCCCTGCCTCTAGGCTACTTTTTTTAAACAATTTAATTAGAAAATTTTTAAAAAGTCCTGGCGCCGAAACTGAGTTTTCCGCAGAACTGCGGTCCTCTGGAAGCCATGACTACGAGTCGGCCCGAATTGGCCGAAAGCGATTCGCAATGGCCCAAACCACAGGTCGCGTGGGCGATGACAGTCCGCTCGGCTTTCGGCCAATAATTCTGATTTAATTTATGCGCGAAAAATCGCACTTAATCAGCTTTTGATTTGCGCATCATACGGCGCATAAAAAGCGAAACGAGGTCATGCGAAAAAGGAATTTTGTAATTTTTTAAATTACGCTTAACAATTTCATTTACATTTGAAATAAAACAAAAGCAGTTTTTATTTAGTTGTTGCTTACGTTTAATTAGAATTGCAACCACTAAGTTAGTGCCTATATTTTGCATCTCGTTGACTATTTCTATATCCTTAAAGTTTTGGTGTATAATTTAATTTATTTAAATTGAAGTTTGCTAACTTGACGTAATTATCGGGTTGCCAGTTTCAAACGCAAGTGGTATACACTCACTATTGTGAGTCACTGAAGTTTGATTTCAACAATAAAACTAATTTAGCTCATGAATATTAGTCATCAGGTTTATGGTCCATAAATATTACGTATTCGGATTTTCCCCAACCTTTTCCGCTGAATTATGATCTTTATGCATTTTGGCGTGGCAATACAATTAATTTTGGGTTGCTTTAAACTATATATAGCTAGTACACTCGTATTACTCAACGTTTTTTTTTTTAATAAAAAAAACAGAGCCCCTCTTATCAGCAATATTTTAGTCTTCATTGTCTCTTCAATAAATGTAGCATATTAGTTTATTTAGAACGTTCTCCTCGATTGGTACTTAGCTTCCAATATGCAGAAACTGGGATCTCTTTTCTTCTGCTCCTTCCTTCTGCTGGGCCGATCTTCATGTCAACCGAACGATCCTCCTAATCAAAGTGGTCAACTTTGCCTCACAACTCTCCATCCTGTGATCGATTTAATATCCGAAACCAATTCCAAACTCCTGTCACTGCAGTCAAAATTGGATGTCCAGGGGACATATTTAACGAAAGAGGACTTCGAGACGAGGTTAAATGTGACAGAAGAACATATTGCGGCTACAAGCACCCACGCTAAGCTCACAGAGCTCCAGGAATCTTTAAATAAGACACAAGATGACTTCCAGGTGAGACTGATTCGGGCGGAAAAACAAATGCAGAGCTTTCAGGATATGGTGCTCGCAGTCCTCTCCAGAATCGAGTCAAAGTTCATACCGCCGAATTTCGAGAAAATCGGTGACAGGTACTTTTACATCGAAAAAAGTTTAACAGCCACTTGGATAACCGCTGCAGCCAGCTGCCGTAGTATGAATGGATTCCTGGCGTCGTTCGGAAGCGAAGAGGAATTCAATGCCGTCAGGAAACAACTGTCCCATAGTAATTCCTACTGGCTGGGCATCAACGATCGGAAAAAAGAGAGGGAATTCATATCTGCAGCATCCGGAAAACCGCCCAAATTTGTTAAGTGGAATCTTACAGAGTTCAACGATCAAAACGACGATGATTGTGTGTCCCTTTATAGAGGCGAAATGTTTGAAAATTCCTGTAGCGCGCAATTTCGCTGGATTTGCCAGGCAGACACCGAAGTATAGATGATGTCAAACGCTACTAATCAAAATTGTATATGCTTAACTTATTTTCTGTGTATTTAAAATATTAAAAAAATAATCAAATTGCAACCATTTTTGTCCATACTCACTCCTTAATGTTGCTAAATAATTATGAGCTATTTTGCCTTTGATGTAATGCGCTGGTTTCGCTGGAAAAAAGTATACCCCCATAATTTTTGGGAGTGGGATCAAAATTGGAAGCTTTAATGGGTTAACCACAACATTTTAGCACGAAGCTTAAATCGAACATTCGTAAATAAATTTTGTATGGCGTGGAGTTGGAGAATTTTAAACATTCGATATTTTAAGGAGTCTTTAGTGTAAAAGTGTAGATAGATTGAGTTTATTAACTTTAAATGAACTCAAAGTAAATATATCTCTAAGAAAATGGCTCGATGCTCTTCTTACCTTTAAAATTGTAAGCGTACTCATGTTTTTCACAACTTTTTTTTGCTGAATTACAATCTTTTTGGATTTAGCATGGCAATAGACTTGTTTTTGAGAGGCAAAATATAATCAACCTATTTATACATCATACATTAGAGTAAACTTAGCATCTCCGGTTGTAAATTGTTAGCTAACTGGACGCATACGAAACGTGTGAGTAAAGGCAAAAAAAAGACTATGTACAAATTAAATTCCAAGTAAATCAGCATTTCATATTAATTATTATTTTAATAACGTAATACCACGAAAACAAACCAAAAATAAAGGTTCGACACATATAAAGCGTCTTATCAGCAATATTTAAGCCTGCGTCCAGTAGCTACATTTTAGTTAATTTCTTGAATTCCGCTCGAGTAGTTTGAATAACTCAAAATGCTGCAGCTTTCATCGCTTTTGTGCGGTCTGCTAATAGTCCTAATAGTCCTTGCCCTGCAAGGATCTCTTGTAGACTCCCAGGATAGGAGCGCACCCTACCCGTCCTTGGACAATTACCATACGATCCTCGCCAGGCTGGAGGCAATGGAAGCAGGGCAAGCCGCCATGAAAAGGTCCTTGAACAATGTGGATGCACGGATGCTGGTCAAATTGGAGGCGATAGAGAACACTCTGGCCAGAATAGTGAGACAACAAGCAGCTATTCAAGCAACGCCTCTCAGCAACCACTCCAAAATCGTTTCGAGGGCCGTGCCACCAAACTTCGAGGGAATCGCCGGCAGGTATTTTTACATCGAAAGAAGTTTAGTGACCACCTGGGCATCGGCTGTAGCCACCTGTCGTGACATGGGTGGTTCTCTGGCGACGTTCAGGAACGAAACGGAACTGAATGAAGTCAGGAAACATCTGCCCAATGGAAGCTCCTACTGGCTTGGCCTCAACGATCGGAAAAAAGAGGGAGAGTTCGTTTCGGCAGCGTCCGGAAAGCCGGCCAAATACTTCAAGTGGTTTCAAAATGAGCCCAGCAACACTGGAAACTATCAGCACTGCGTTTCTTTTTACAACGGAGAAATGTACGACATTGCTTGTGACGAGTACTTGTACTTTATTTGCCAAGACACCGAATAATAGATCAACTCAACCGCTGATAATCACAATTTAATATATGTATGTAAATTATTATTGTGGTGTTTAAAATATTAAAATATTATTCAAGAAAGTTCTTGTTTTTCTTATTAACCCCAATAGGGTGAACCCTAATGGACCAACTACATAATGTTAGCACGCACTTTAAATCGAAGACTAGAAAATAAATAATATATGCGGTTGAGCTGGGGAAACTTATTCATTGAATAAGTGTAAGTAGCTGGAGGAAAAAGCAGGCTTTTAAATTGAACCTAATTAAATAAATATAATTTCTACTGCTTTTTAATAAATTTGAAATTAAAGTGCAGAAATGAAGGACCTTCAGTAAGTCCATATTAAGTTCCTTTCCCATATCGATACCAAATTCATCGCAAATCGTTTCGAGAAATTGGACACCAGGCACTTTTTGCTTTTCAAATATACGAAATATTATCAAAACATGTTCTTCCCGACTTTTTCCGCTGAATTAAAATTTTTATAGATTTCGGCATGGCAATAACATTGTTTTTTTGGTGCCAATAACAAGCAACGCATTTGAACATTATAATAATTATTTAATGCATGAACATAAATAGTGTTGTTGCCTACACCGAACATCAAAACATTGTTAAATGAATTTTACTGCATTATTATATTGTTATGTGTATACAAAAGAGTAATTGCCTTTCCTAGAATCGAACATAAATCCATTAATTGCAATAGGTATACACATTAGATGGCAGCTTACTATTAGGCCACGTACTTTTTAAGTAAACACGCATTTAAATCAGCAACATTTAAGTCTTCATTTTTCGTCCCATAAGCTGTCAGAATCAGTGCACTTAGAACGCTCTTCGCGATTGGTTATTAGCTGTCAATATGCTGAGGCTGGCGTCTATTTACTTACTTTGCCTCTTCATCCACCTGGACTGCCAAGGATCTTTGGCGGCTTGCCAGGACAATGTCCAAAAGGTTTGTCTACTGAGCGATCCTGCCAATCAGTGTGCCTCATACTGCCTGAGTGCATTCGGAGCCAAAGTGGATACGATCCAACGGTCTCTGGACACCGAACTGCACTCCCAACTGGTCACTGCGAAAGAGGGCCTCGAGCGGAGGTTAAATATGACGAAGGAACATCTTATGGCTGCCAATTCCGAGGCGGGAGACAAATTTCAAGCCCTGCAGACCCAAATGAAGAACCAGTACCAGGAAATCGAGGATTCTTTAAGGAAGACCAGCACTCAGGAAGATCTCGGGGCAGCAGTGAATCGCACGGAAGGCCAACTGCTGGCGGTGGGTGTCGACATGAAGAGGCAACTGCTGGATTTCAGGAGCAAAGTGGAGGAGCAGCACACTGAGCTCCAGGAAACGGCGAGCAGGACCGTCACAAAGGGCGACTTTGAGACGGAAATGCAGGCGGTGCAGATGAGGATGTTTGAGCAAATGCAGACACTTCAGTCGAAACTATGCGGTCAGCATAGGGAAATCCAGGATTCCCTAAGGCAGACCAACACCCATGAGCAATTCGAGGCGAGACTCAACCAGACGGATGCCAAGCTGCAGTTGCTCCAATCGAAAATGGAGGACCACCAGGTGGCCATACAGAACTGTCTGCAGGAGCTGTTGGCCAAAGTGGAGGGCCAGCAGGCGGCCTTCAAGGACAGCCTGCTGGAAACGCTCCAGACCAAAACCAATGTGCAAATTATACCGCCCAAGTTTGAGCAAATCGGCAGCAGGTTCTTTTACATTGAACAGAAAGTGCAGCAGAATTGGTTCGCCGCCTCGGCCACCTGTCGCCAAATGGGTGGCCACCTGGCCGCCCTGCGAAACCAGGGCGAACTGAAAGCCCTCAAGGCCAAGCTGCCGCCCCAGAGTGTCCAATGGCTGGGCATCAACGATCGCGAGGAGGAGGGCAAGTTCGTATCGGAGGCCTCCGGCAACCCAGCCACGTTTCTAAAATGGGCTGAGGAGGAACCCAACAACCTGAACAACAACGAGAACTGCGTGGCCCTGCTAAACGGCTCAATGAACGATGACAATTGCCTGCTGCCACACCACTTCATTTGCCAAGCAGGCAGCGAAGTCTAGATTAAAATACAATTAAAAGCATTATTTATGTACCTAATAAATTAGAATAGGTTTTTTTTTTTACAATAAAAATGTTGAAAGATTCGAATTACGGCAGCTTTCAGATGGTCAATCTTACCAAGATGGGAAAACCAAGAATAATTTAATACATTTTGCTAATAATATTTTAATATAATAATATTTTTCATCAGTTTTGTATGGCTGACAACCTAACAACTTCGCTTTAAAAACTGATAAATAAAGTGAACAAATTGACTCATTTATATGTATTACTTACAGTGGCTCACAGATAATTTCAAATTATTTTGTATACGGATTACATTACGGATATACATTTTTCTATTTGGCATTTCTAGTTATACGATGCCGAAAGCTGGGCTCCAACGAGAACACAAAAATACGCAAAATTATATTGAAATTTTCGAATCAAATCAAACGAGCATAATAAAATAATAATGAAATAGAGGCAAAGGCAATTTGTGTCTGGTTCAAAAATATGAATATAAACGCATCCATATGCGGTCTATTAATAATTGGACAGAATAAAAAATAAAATTAATTTGCAAATTAAATTTGCGCCAGCAACAGTGGAAGTGAATTTCGACAGCCGAGAACAACAATGGAAAAGCCGGAAAAAGTCATCAAAAAGAAAATTCAATTTTCAAAAAGAGCCAAAACTTTTTCAGCCCAATATGGAATTGAGAGGGAGACAGAGATAAAGATAGAGAAAGGAAAAGGGAAAGAGAAAGAGAGATGAAAAAAATGGCAAATTAAATCGAGCAATCAAATGAGCATAATAAGTTAATCAAGAAGTTGGCCAGGATCAATGGGGTCAATTTCTGACCCTCCTGTTTGTCCCTCATTTTCTTCATTCGCTTTGGGGAAAAATTGAAAAGGAGACAAACAGGTTGACATACAAGCAAATAAATAAATGCACTCAACTATGTAATATGGCCAACAACAAAAGGGGAAAAGAGGGAAGGGGGGTGGAATGCCCATGGTCAGACATTGTCTGCCCGAAAAACCCCCCTTTTTCTCCTTTGCTTCCTTCGAGCAGCAAATGTAGCGTAAAATCGTTAGTTTCGTTTTGGCCCGGTCCGGATTTTGAACCACGTAATCAGTCGCCTTTTCGCCCCCTCGCTTAACCCCCCCATGGCCCGAGGGGGCCGCCACCGCCCCTGCCCCTGACTTAGCCTGAGCCTGATTTATAGCCGGCACACGATTTTCGGTTGCCAACAAAATGTTTGCAGCATTTCTTCGCTTTGGTCCGCCGGCAACAATTGAAAATCAGATCAATGCACCAAGATACAAGCGTCCGGAATGGATCGACAAAAGTCCCGCGGAACGAAAAAGGTTAAGGTATAAGCAAAGTTTAAGTTTCCCAAAAAAAAAACAAAAATTACATAAAATACTTTACGCTTATAGATTCGAAACACAAAAGATCTACCAAAAAGAAAAAAAAATAGGGAAATAATAATATTATTCTATTTTATTTATGAATTTTTATTTATTTTACATAAAACATATAATACTTTTTTAAAATTTTGTGAAAATTATATAATTTTTTGTATACATTATACAATTTATTGTAATTATATACATTTCTTTATAGCAATGAAATTTGCGTCTTGTGCTTTATTTAAATGTATTTATTTTTTTAATGTGTTTTTTTGACGTTTCATGCAATTAATATTTTGTATTCTTTATACGTTATATGCTTTAATAATTTCCTCTGTGAAATGTGAAATTGAATGTTTGCCAATTGTAATATAAAGTTCATCAGAAGTTTATTATTGCACGTTTCATGCGAAAAACATAATCTTCTTTGTGCATTTTAATCTTGTATAATTTTCTTGTTAAAAGTGAACATATTAGGCTCATCAATGTTTCTGGCTAGGAATTACTGGATGGTATTTCAAACTCAATTATAAACTCGAATTCGGAAGTCAATCCTTATTTCTCTTAATTGACAAACATCCTGGTCACTTAACCATTTTTCTAGCTTGGGTTTGAATTATGTGTCGCATTAGTTGGTCCTTTTTTGGCGTACAAATGGGGGGTGGCTGTGTAATGAGGGGATGGTAAAAAAAAGGGGGGGGGCTCTCTAAAAACTCTCCACCTCGCACTCGCAAAACTTTAACACAAATTGAATTATGCAGTCGCCAGTCGCAGACACAAAGAGAAAACTGGGGAAAGGGTTAAACAAGGAGTGAAAGAGGGGGACGGCCATTAGGTGAGGGGGCGGGCATTCACCGCCCATCCAAGGCCACTCCGCCCGACTTTGCCAAATGTAACTGAAATTTATTGAAATTTGTTAGCAGACACAAAACCCGCCACAAAAGACCGCAGCTCCTCTGCGGCACCGAACCACTCCTTCTATATTAAAAAAAAAAATAATAAAATAAAGTTCGGTTCACGCTTTTTGTCACGCTTTTGCCGCCCGCGGTCCAAAGTCAGGCGCTAGCCACTCCCCCTTTCATATTATTCTTTTTTGTTTATTTTTTTGGGGTTTTTTGAAAAGCGGTTTGTCAGAGTTGTCGCAGTTGGGAGTCAGTTGTCGTCCTATGCCTACTCCATTTTCTGCAGTCCTAAGGTTCCGATAGAAGGAACAGCCTTCCACGTTTTTATTTATTGATTTTATTTATTTTAATACTTTAAATTCGTATTGAAATACATTTAATTTGTATATGTTTTAAAATTATATATATATATATATATATATATACCTTAAATATATTTGCAATAAACACACACTTAAACTAAATTATGTTGTTTTTTTAAGCACAAAAATTGAAAACTTTTTTTTTTAATTCCTCTTAGTTTTTGTAGCTCTATAATATCTAGAGATTTTACCAAATTTCCTTGCGGATAGAGTGTTTCAAATGTCGACGATCAAAGACGATATGTTGGCTCTGCACTTTTAATTGCTGACAGGCTTTGGTCATGACCAGGAAAAACCCACTGGGGGCCACCTTTTACAACGCCGCCTCACACACTCAATTTTTGGGTTCTCTGTTTTTTTTGGAAATGGGATGGGGTACCCAAAAAAAGTTTGCCAGCTGCAACGTTTCGCGGTTGCATGCTAAAAAGTTTTAAGTGCCCCGCTCGACCAGCCACCACCCACTGTCAGCCGCTTTTCCGCCCGATTTTCATCCTACATCCAACATCCCAACTTAACCATTTTGCCCTTATTCCATTGCTCCCCCCATACGCTTTAGTTTTTCTATTAGGCATCCCAGGCTCGTCTCATTTGTTGCCTATTTGTCCATAGCTCCCTGGCTTTTCCCAGCGCTTTTCCCAGCCCATTTTCCCCCCGCCTCTGTTCCCTTTTTTTTCCCCTCCACAGGGACATCGTAAAAATGCCAATGAGCCGACCTGAGCGAGCGGCGTTAAAAACTTTTCTCATTTATCAGGCGATGGAGGGACCAGCGCGGTTACCTTTTGCCCCCACGTCCACTTTTGGCCAACACACCATCCGCTACTCACCGCCCACACCGCCCACCACGCCCACTTCTCCACTGGCGTCAGGTAAATTGATTGTCGCCGCCAACGAACTTCGACGGTTGTTGGTCAACTCACCTCAACTCAACTCAACTCAAACTGAAGGCAAAGGCACTGGAAAATTCATTTTAAAACATTTTTTTAAATTAATTTGTGTAATCAGTTCCGTAATAATTCAATTCTTTAAGCTTAAAGTCAATTTAACTTATTTTAAAATCAAAGGGAGACAAAAATATAAATAAAACAGTATAAAATATCAAATAAACATCCTGTTTTGGGAAAAAATCAATTATATGCAAATGCTCCTTACGAAAAATGTAGAAAGGTAAACAAAAAAGTCTTAAAAAAAATATTTTAATTAAAAACATAAAATATCAAGTGTACATCCTGTTCTTGAGAAAAATCCTTTAAGAGAAAAATCAAATATATCCATTTTCAAAAACTCTTTAAGAAAAATGTTCAAAAGTAAACTAAAAAGGTTGAAAAATAACAAAATGTTTCTAAAAGCTGCAAGCAGCTTGTCTAATTCTTATTAAATTTTACAAAATAATTAAATGTATTACACAGTATTTCTTTCAGTGTAGCCACAACGTAGCGGACCGCCTTTAAGCTTTCGCACGCCCAGTGTTTAATTGCTGTAGTTTTCCCCCGATATTTGCCGCCATTCTCGGCACTCTTTCACACTCTTTCTGGATTTTTAAAACGACAACAATGGGCCAGCAAGTGGCAAAAGTTTTTGGGTCAGCTGGGGGCGTCAAAGGGTTAAGGGCTGCGAAAGGGCGAACCGAACTGCAGTTGAAGTTGAAGCCGGTTAATGGCCAGGCAAATGAGCAAACTGGACAAGCGGCTAATGAGCAGCCGCCAAAGAGTTGGGCGAACAAATTTGTACACAAGTACGAAAAAATAAAAAAAATTAAAAATAATAATCCCAGGCAGACACTCTATAAACTGGGGGAAAAAACAACGGTGAAAAAGTTCAGTTGGCCAATGGAAAAATATCTTTCAATAGAAAACAGGAAAAAAGCTATGCCAGATCTGTGTGATACAATCGTTGGGCTTTTGTAAAATGTAAATATTATTTAAAACCGTAAGAAAAATCTTATCTCGAGAATAATCAAAAATAATATATAATAATAATAATATTTATATATAAAAAAACTTTTTTCGCATTTTTCTAAAGGGGTTGTCTAAATTTGCATACATTTCCCGAAATTAAAAATGTTCCATGGTTGGAAATTGTTTCACGCATTCAGAAATGTATGACATCCAATGACGCACAACGATTAAAGTAACTTTTTTGTGTAGCTGGAAAAATTTACTATCTATTCTAGGCTGACTTCGAAAAATTAATTTTATGACCAATTTTTTGCTTTTTTGATAAGGGGTTACATCATCATTTTTTCAAAAATTTTACAAATTTTAACATTTTTAACTGTGAATGCCATTCGATTGGAAATTTTATTACGAATGCAACGGTGTAATACATTTCATATTTTGAC